ACTAGAAAGAAACACCCCCTTGAATTCTCTTATTGTACTTGTGACCAACCGCTTAAGCAAGTAGATGAACACAAATATCTTGGCGTAATATTAACCAGTACCTTAAGTTGAAACTCTCACATTACTAACATATGCGCTGCCGCTTTCCGTAAACTTTGTTTATTACGACACAAACTCAAAACCGCTCCCTCTGAGGTTAAATACTTAGCATATACTTCTTTAATTAGACCGAAACTTGAATATGCCTGCGTTATTTGGGATCCTCACACTAAAACCAATATCGAATGCCTCGAAAGAATTCAAAGAAGGGCCGTCCGCTTTATTTATGGTATGTACGGTCCAACTGACTCCGTTTCTGTCCTGATGGAAAGACATGGTATCCCAACATTAGAATCACGACGTAAATCATTTAGGCTAAAATTACTATACCAATTAGTTAACCGGAAGCTCTTATTTGATCACAGCCCCTACATTAGTCGCTTGAAAACACGGCGCGGTCGTCATTCACACTCCCTTGCCTTAACTCCGTATTTCTCCAAAACTAATCTCTTCAAATTTTCGTTTTTCCCGCGCACAATCTGTGAGTGGAACAATTTACCGTTTGTTGCCCTGCTGTCGACAGATTCTATTGGCGCACATGTTTTCCTGAGTATGTAAAAATGTTTTGCAGTTTTTTTTATCCACTGATCATTTTTGTTGATTGCTTACTTTCATTGCCATGTTGTTTCCCTTTGCGATTCGCGCTAATGCGATTCTCGAAATCCACTTAAATCATTGCTGTTACGATAAGCTTGGTTGCATTATTGTTGTATGTGTGTGATGATTGGATTATTGTATGCTGTGTGATGCTTGGCTTAATTGCCTTACTGCCTGTACCATTCCTGCTTGGGCTCCATGCCTGCAGTATCTTGTAAATGAATAAATGTCTCATGAGTTGAGGAGGCAAGGAAGGGGTGAAAAGGGGGGTATAGATATAATTGTCAATAGAGACCTTCATACACAGCATGCCGCTAAATTTGTGGTGTGAATTATTTGATGATGCCTAAACATTGACAAAACCTTTAAAAAATGTTTCAGGGTCTTTTTAAAGAGACCCTGAAACTGCTGCGACCAAAAACATGCTATGCGTAACAAAAAACCCTAGACAACCTCACTACGAATGCCACTCGATAGTTTTAACAATGTGATACACTCAAACCTCGTTATAACGTCACGGGATATAATGAAATAATGGTTATAACGAAGTAAATGAAAGCTCCATTGAGAACCATACATTTAAAACTGCATTGTAATGAAGTAAAATTGGTCGGCAAATGGATTTAATGAACTAAATTAGTCTATCAAATATTCTATCAAAAAAAAAACAGACAGTTGTATGTTAAGTATATCGTTTTCTGCGGAGTTTGACCCTCATTCGGCGAGGCTCTTTCAAAACTCCCGCGCCGACTTTACAGCCACGCCACGCGCGGCCGCGAGAGCCGTCTTCTTCACACAGCCAGCGGAGAGAATCGAGGAAGCGCTCAGCGGGTCACATGACTGAGAAGCGGCGCCGCCCTCTCACTTAAGAACACACGATGGGGAAGCTTCAGAAGACTTACATTTATTCACGAATCAGAGGACATCTGTCATTAATTGAAGTAATCGGTGATGCGCATCTGCACATGTTTGCCTTGCAGCGAGTCAATCAATTTCGCACGCAGTTTGCAAGGCATAGTAGCCCGCGGCTAAGTTTAGCGCCAATACTCTTTAAAGACGACGACAATGACTGCTTCTTCGCTGCTACCCTCTGCATCAAGAAAGGAGGAACGTCTCCACGCGGAGAGAAGCAGATCGGCATTAGAGAGAAAGCCAACTCTCCGCGACAGTTTATTTTTTTTCCCTCTCTCCATGCGCGGCCTTGAAAGGAGAAGGGTCTCTACGTGCAGAGATAGAAAAGGGAGAAGCATGGCCCAGGCACGTCGCAGATCGGCATTTGGGAGAGAGCAAACAGTCCGCCACAGTCTTTTCTTTCCTTTTCTTCTTTTCCTTCGAGCGCAGCGTTGAGAAGTGCCGCCGCGGGATCGGGCATGGTGCTAGAGCATTTTCGGAGCGCGGTATGTTCAAATTAACCATTGCAAGTGCTTGCACGTTTGAATTACAGGGCGTTTTCGCCCATTGGAATATACATAGCTTTCATGAGACCACAGTGCGAGTTCGAATTAACCGGAAGTTCGAATTAATCATGTTCAACTTAATGAGATTCGACTGTATTTATTTTCCATCGCACGCGTTGTCGCGTAGGGTACATCGGGCCGCGAGACAGTTTCCTTCTTTGCATGCTTATAGGTGTGCGCCCATCTGAGCATACATTGCCACAAACTGTTATAATTAATATAACGAAATAATGAATATAACCAAATAATTGTGGCTCCTCTTCAACTTCGTTATAATGAAGTTTGAGTGTAGTAATGCCAGAACACACAGCCTAGTGAGTAGAAGCAGCATGCTCAGGGCACCGCCTCACATTTGGGGGGGTGGGGTGGGGGGGGCATGCATACCGTATAAACCGGAATATAAGTCGAGATATTTTCAATGAAATAATAAGCTAAAGTTGCCCCTCATCTTATATAGCGGTGTCTAGCTGAAAGTGCGACGCTGTCTGGCAACCTGTGACTTGCATGTGCTTGTGTAGCCGGACGCGACCATATCCGCATCCAAATCCAATCGCGGCCTGTTTTTTTTTTTTTCTCTCCGTCTGTTTTCTTTGTGTTCGTGATTTGCGTCTGATCGGTTCTGAGTTTTCGCTCCGCTTGACATTGCGCTGCATATTTAGTGGCCCTTTTTTTTTTTTCGTTCAGTGAACATGTCTAGCGGTGCGAGGAGGCAGTACTCAGCTGCGTTTAAACTAGATGTTGAGTTTGCAGAAGCAAATGGGAATATGGCTTCTCAGCACCACTTTAGTGTATCGGAAAAAAGCGTGCGCTATTGGACGGCGCAGAAAGAGAAGCTGCAGATGTGCGATTCTTGAAAAATGTCGTTTCGTGGATGAAGTACCGTTCATCCGCAGCTGGAGGATAAGCTAGCGGACTTTGTGCGGGAAGTTCGTGCGCACTCGCTGCCAGTGACCGTGGATACTATTCTCAAGAAAGCCGTGGAACACGCTCGAGAAGCTGGGCTCGCGAGAGAAGAGTTTTGTGCACCGAATTCTTGGGTGCGTCGATTTATGGGACGCAAAGGATTTTCTCTCCGGCGGCGCACATCCATCTGTCAAAAGTTGCCATAACTTTCAACAAAAGCTCATAAACTTTCAGCGCTTCGTAAACCGGCTTCGGGAGCAGAACGACTACATGATGGGGCAGATTGGCAACGCCGATGAGACCCCCATGTGGTTTGACATGCTTTCGTCGACCACGATCACGCAGCGCGGCGCCAAGGATGTGAAGCTGTTGTCCACTGGCAACGAGCACTCGTGCTTCACCGTCATGCTGGCATGCACGGCAGATGGTAGAAAGCTTCTGCCCTTCGTCATTTTCAAATGCAAGACAATGCCGAAGGAAGTGTTCCCGCCTAGTGCTGTCGCTCGCGCCAACAAAAAGGGATACATGGACGAGGCCATGATGCTCGAATGGACACGAGTGGTGTGGAAGCGTCGGCCAGGTGCACTGCTGCGTCTTCCAGCATGCTGGTGTTGGATGAGTTTTATGGCCACTTAACCGACGCAGTGAAACGCGCTCTCGGCGATGAGAAAACGGACCTCGCCGTGATACCAGGTGGTATCACGTCCACCCTCCAGACCCTCCAGCCGCTCGACGTTGTGTTAAAGAAGCCGTTCAAGGACCGAGTGCGGCTGGAATACCAAGAGTGGATGTCCAGCGACAACCCCAAGACACCGACGAGCCGCCTACAGAGGCCTCCTCTTGCGACTGTTTGTGGCTGGGTGCTTTCCGCCTGGTGCTCCTTGCCGGATTCCATGGAGGAAAATGCTTTCAAGAAATGTTGCATCAGCAACTCGCTGGATGGCACTGAAGATGACGCACTGTGGGAGGCGGCCAGCGACAAACTCTCATCTTCAGAAGACAGTGGTGCTTCGTCGGACGAATAGGAGCAGTTGCGATGGTGGTTGAGGGGAGCTCCGACGATCGGAGTGCGGTGCGCCCAATTCACAAATAAATGTGGTTCGGCAGTTTTAGGTTGTTCTACTTTTTTTTTTCTTTTTCGGTAACCTAAACTTGGGGGGTCGACCTATATTCCCACTCGACCTATAGTTCGGTTTATACGGTACTTACTACTACTTGAGAGTAGATTATGGTGGTGCCATGGAAGCCTTCATCAGAAAGGTGCATAGAATAAACGTGTTTGGGCACGTCAACGTATTCTGCGAATGTGTCTTCTTCTTGTTTTTCCTGAGTACTCACAAAATCATGTCAGCTAAGTCTTTTTTTTCCAGCTGAAGCTCAAGTTGGCAACAAAATTTTTGCTTTTGAGGCTGTTTTGAAACAGTTTGATACAATTTTTTTTCAGTTTTTATACCTTTAAGGCTGCTTGGTGCAAAAAAAAACTGGGTTTAGAAAGATATGGCCGTATTCACATCTGTGGGAGAAGGAAGAAGGCAACGCCCACTGCAACTTTGCAAGTGTGCAAGATGACGTCTTGTGGGGGCACATGAAGCAAGCCCGCATGATTTCTGCCAGCTCTTTCACACACAGTGCCTTCCAAGTGTATGCAGATCGACCATGTGATTACAGGTTCACGAAGCTGCGATAGCGAACTATGCATCAAGCCAAACTTGGGCAGTCGGTTTGACGCCGCAAGAAGCAGACAGGCAATCTCGTTCGAATTAACTATGGCAAGTGCTTCAGGTTCAAATTAAGAAGAGTTTTTCCACCTTTATACATACAGCCCATTGCCGGGACCAATGGCCAGGATTGAATTATCCTTGGGTTCCAATTATGCGACTGAATTAATAAGGTAAGATGATATAATGCAGAATTCAGGCCTTGCTAAAAGATGATAGGACTCACAGCTAGGTCAGTGCTTGTTTGCTTCTTGAGAGCCGACACGGAAGGGGGTTGTCGGTTCGCAAGGCTGCCCTTGGCAGCCAGCTCAGCCTTAGCTTTCGCAGCAGTCGAATCCAGAAGCTCAGTATGAGGCACCGCTCGATCAAATGCATCACCCGCGCCACGCCGCTCTACTGTTGATCTTCGGTGATCACCAGACACTTCATCAGGACTCAATTCACACCTCAGGCAATCATCACTGTCCAGTTCTGCATACAAACAATCAAGCACAATATTAGCACAACTCACAATGTTTTCACAACCTACATCAACATATTTAAAGCACAGTAAATGGTCTCGTTTACTAAATACGCTATAATCACATCTTACTACAGGCTCATTAAAGGACTTATGACCTTCTTTTGCTAGAAATAAAGTGGGTGAAAATCCTGTTATTTTAATGGGAAAGTTATTATTTTAATTAGTTACACTGAGAGCCACTGTGCATCAAATATTATATTAGCTTTCAAAATCGTGGGATTGGAAACTCAGCGAAATTATACAGCACAAAATTATAGGTAAATGACTTTATTGAATACCAAGGAAGAAGAGCTTAGGACATATTCGGTTTGGAGTTTATGAGCGCTCTAAAAAGTGGCCACGCATTCAGTTGGTACAATTTGAGCGCTCGAACTACCTTCAGTTGGTTCTTTCGAAGCGCTCCCGACTGCTCAGACTTCGAAGTGAGAGCGGTCCCATTTTCCCCGCGCAATTCTTGCACCCCCCACCCCCCCAATTCTTCAAATTCACTTAGCACCCAAAACTTTGCTATTCATACAGCTGAAGTTTATTCTTTTTTTTTTTCTGCGCCTTTTAAAGGGGCAGCAGGTTTAACGTCCCAAAACCACCATATGATTGAGAGACGCCGTAGTGGAGGGCTCCGGAAATTTCGACCACCTGGGGTTCTTTAACGTGCACCCAAATCTGAGTACATGGGCCTACAACATTTCCGCCTCCATCGGGAACACCACAAATGCACTTGACGAAAGTTTGATAGATAATATTAATAATAACAGTTGGAGTTTAACATTCCAAGACCACAATGAAATTACGAGAGACACCATAGTGGAAGGCTATAGAAATTCGGAGGACCTGGGATTCTTGAACGTTCACCTAAATCTAAGCACACGAGCCTCGAGCATTTTCAGCTCCACAAAATATGAAGCCACCACAGCCGGGATTCGATTCAGCAACCTGCCGATCAGCACTTGAGTACGATAACCACTAGACCACCCAAGTAGGTAAAGCTTCGATAGAGGCCAGCTGAAAACTACTGGCTACACTACCCTAGTCATAGATGAACAACATGAAAACCTAACAGCCTTTTTATGATATCATTGCCATTTGTCTTCCGTTGTGTTAACTACATACCTTCATATGTGTATACTGTATTCACTTGCATAATAGGTGCCCATTTTTTTTCCAGAAAAGCGGGCTCCATGTTTGGGGTGCGCCTATTACACAAGATAAAATTTCCGAAAGTTTTATTTCAGACTACAGCATAGACCACCGATAATGTATATGTCACCGAAGTCACGAATACCAGCTCTAACCTTCTTCATAAGCTACACTGGCGCAAAACGTGTTGAGCAAGCAGTCTTGCGTGTCTGAGAATTGAGGCATGCGATGCAGTGTGCATGCAAATTCCCAAAAACATTGAAAAACCTGCATAGGCAACAGAATGAACGCGAAAAAAAAAAAAACTACGAAAAGAAAGTGCCATCACGGAAATCGGCCGATGTTTCACGCCACCTAGATTATGCGCATTACCACGACCGTCGATTTGTGATGGACTGATTGACTGATAGATATGCTGGGTTTAACGTTTCAAAACCACCATAGGATTAAGAGAGACTTTGTAGTGGAGGGGTCCAGAAATTTTGACCACCTGGTGTTCTTCAGACTGAAGTTTTGTGAGCTGAACAGTACCGATCGTTCAATGTCACCGGCTCGCACCCCATATTCCAGACATTGCAAATAAATTGTGCAGGTAATTCAATTGTTGCAAGCACCATCCATGCCCCCTTTCCTTTAAGTAAAGCCACCGAAAAAAGTTACGTTGATTCTCTACAAAAACGGAACTTTGATCACTTGCCACCGAAAAAGCACCGAAAAAGCCTACGGTTCCGCATGATATCCTGAGAAGCTTGTACAAGACAATGTGAAGATTGGATGTCAAAAAGATCGCATGTGATACGATGCTTAGGTTTGCGGCCAGAAAATCAATGGCGACAAAAGTCCGCCGGGCTTGTGCAAGTAGTGGCAGCAAAAGCGAAAGCGACCGAGCAGCTTTTAAATTTAGGACAAGGTAGCAAATGCGATGACGATGAGGCCTTTCCTGACCGAAAACTCGATGCATATTTGACGACAATGCGATCGCATGTTTCATGCGCAGTGGGCGCGGCCACCACGCCGGCTTCGGTGCCAAGGTTACTTCAACACCCAGGCAAGCACCCTCCTTTCTCACTCAGCGAACCAGCAGTGCTGGTGCAGTGCTGCTGCGGTCTTTTTTGGTTTTTTTTTCTTCGCTTCAGTTAATGTAAGAGGGCTTCGAATTGCAACCATTAAAATACGGTACAGAACTACTGATCACGGCCAAGTTCGGGGTGCACCTACAATGCACGGAAATAAAGACCTATGATTTCACACGACCTAACTGGGGGTGCACCTATTATGCGAGTGCGCCTATTATGCAAGTGAATATGGTAGTCGCTATGGATGACTGCAATGAGAGACTAGCTTTGTGAGCAGGGGTCGTGGAAAATGGTGGATCTGTTCTCAGTATGTGTGCACTGGCCGCACATGTGCCATCAGAACTGCATTGTTTGCTCTTTACGATTGAAGCACCATGTTGCAGCTCTTATAGGCACAAGCAGCTGAGTTCATTGTAGTATATATTGTAGAAAACTCTACGGGGCAAGTAGCATCACTGAATTGGTGAGCGTTGGATGTGCATGTACTTTCATAATACCATATTCACTGTCATAATTTCCACTTTTTTTTTAAGAGTTTGGAGCTCCGAAAAAGGGGTGGTGCGCAAATTATGCAGAGAGTTTGCAATGCATGCAAAAATGTGCAATAGTATACAGCCCTCACACACGTCGTATATACGTTAGGAAAACGAAAATAAATTGAAGCACAAACATGGTGTACTTGTTTATTAAACAGAATCACCTTGTACTTTATCCAGCCAGATCCAGTTATTCTCGGTCTAGTCAGAATCACTGGCCGATGGGGAATCATCATTGCCACCACTGTCACCGCCCTCACAAAGCGCATCGTCCTCAGCTCCGTCGAGAGCATTTGAATGCCCCATTTTCTTGAAGCTCTTCTGGACAATGCTGGGAGAAACCAGGTCCTACGACACAGTGATACCGCAGGAGCCTGAGCTTTCACACATAATCCATCTTTTCCATTTTCCTGTGCTGCCATATGTCGTTACAATATAGTTTTGGCACTGCAAGAATGAAGGCCTTCGAGACAAGGAGTTTCATAGCGTTTCCACTAAGAAAGGGCCCATGCACAGCGGCATCACGAAATAGTCAGGATTGAAAAGGTCTTCAATGGCAAGAAACTAGTATTGGCAAGCTTCACTCTTCTGCTTTCCCCTGTACTGAATGCCACATGTTGAAACACCACGCTGAAATTCCTGGCAGCAAAGCGTTTCCCACTTTTTTCGGAAATCTTTATAACAGTGACCTTGAACTTTGGCGTATATATAATTATTGTAGCTCATTGCAAAGGAATACTAAAATCACGGCAGACAGTCGGCGAAACCTAAACTTCCAAAATCAGCCAAGCAAGTGTTGCAGTGCGGACGCAGTGAATGAGAAAAACAGTTGGAGGAACAGGCCTTCGCATGCGTCTGACACAGAAAATACCATATTAGCTCGCGCAATCCTTGCACTCTTATAATTCTCACACCCTCCGCATTTCCCAACAAAAATAAAATTTTTTTATCTGCGAGTAATTATCACACACTATAAAATTGAAGCAATAATGTCGTCAGCTTCTTCCAACCATCAAGCCCCAATCCAATCTAAGCAAGGTTAAAGTGACAAATATGCGTTGCGGTGTGTTAGTGATAAGCAAGAAACAGTGTGCTTAGACGGGCCAAAAAGCCACAAAAAGTGTGTCAGTATATACCCGTAAACAATCTATGTTAGTGCTAGCCTGTGCAGCGTACATTCTTGTGTCGGCTGTGTGGTTGCGCGATGGGTCGATACGAAAGCTACACAGCTTCTTTCAAGTTGAAAGTGATTGATCATGCACTAAACAATAGCAACAGGGCTGTCAACAGGCACCTCGGAGTCTATGCATTTTGTGTTCCGTGAGTGGCGACAGCAGCACGAGCAGCTGAAAGCCACGAAGAAGATGCATCAAGTCTTTCCAGGCCCTAAGACTAGGAAATATCCACAGGTTGAGGCAGCACTTCTTGATTACGTCAAGGGTCTTCGTGTGAAGACCCTTGAGACACTATTTGCTAATGGCTTTTGCATCTGCAAATGAATCTTGTCTTGTGTTGTTAAGTTAAGCCTTGATTATTACTTCTTTTGGCCGGACACCCTCCAATCACCCTGCCGCCACCCAGTCCAAACAGACTGCTACTGAGGATGGAGTTCAGGAGGGGTTCCACCTCGAGGCTGCAGTTCACCACTTGAGCTTTCAGACTCGTTGACGGCACCTGACTCAAGTACATCACAGCCAGCGACCACTACTGATGATTGGTCTCATGAATGCCTAGCATTGGTCTGGGCCATTGAGAAATTTCACATTTACGTGTATGAGACCATTTTCATAATTCAAACAGACCACCAACCTCTTTCATACCTCTCTCAGGCTGAACACCTTAAGGGGACAGACTGCTCTTTGGGACCAAAAAGTGACAAGCAAAATCATTTTTTAAAATTGACATATTTGGTATCTGCAAGTATTTTGCTATCTCTCTGCAAATGTTTACACCCCAGGAAGTGGTAATTTTTTTGTAATGTTATTATAACTGTCCAGATTCTTGGTGCTGTTAACATGCAGAACCTGCAAAAAAATGGGGAACCAACTTCGAGGCCTCTTTATAATTTGCCAGCACCTGTGTTAGAAGCTCCGCTACGAATTTATGAGCACTTTTATGAGGATTGCAAAACATACACACCATGATTGTTGCTTTTTGAAGAAGCTGTGTGTTTTCAGTTTTTTTCATTTTTCTCAAAAAAGTAAATTTACAACTGTTCAATTTTGAGGCCTCAATATCTCTGCAGCTAGAGCAGGTACAAGAATAATTTTTTTTGCAATGGAAACTTGTATGCGTGTAAGGTGCAAGTATGGGAGCAGAATTTAGAGATCAAGCTTTTTTAATTAATTACTCATCAAAATTTTAGCATAATTTCAACTGCATTTGAATATGAAAAGTTCATTTTGCTGTAAAATAATAAGAAAGGCTTAAAAACAAAAAACTATTCCACTATTTCAGTCTATATTCATTAGTCTATGTTAGGATATTATAAATTTTTTAATAGAGTACTTTTTTTTTCTATGGTGGCCTGAAACGATAGGGGTGAACTTAAGTTATCTCAGGAAAAAAGATGAGTTACAGAAAAACTAATTAAACATTTGAAATCAGCAGAAAAAACTGCACAATTTTGTGCAGTTTGATCAAGATCACTGAAGAAATAAACAAAAAATGTCTAAGAGCAGTCTGTCCCCTTAATAGTAGGGTCCTCTAGTGGAGTCTTGTTCTACAAGAGTATTCATTCGGGGTAGAATATTTAAGCGAATCAGAAAATGTTGAAGCAGACCTTCTGAGCAAAATTTAAGACTTAAGTTTATCAGATTTAAGATTTAGGTTTATCAATGACTGTCTTGTACGTGCACCCTTACTCACTTTGCATGCATGTACAGACAGTTTACTATGCTGAACTTCACTCATCAAGCTAAAATCTTTTTTTATAAAAAAACTCATCGTTGGGAGGACTCTTGTGATGAGTGTAGTGCAACAGTGCGGTGTTGTCAGTGCGGTGTTCACGGTACAGTGCTGTGGTGATGTCGTGAGTGGTGCAAAAGCGGTGTAACGTGAGAGCGGCACCACACAGCAAACACATGCACAACAACGAAAAGAAGGACGACGTTGTCGGAGCACGGCTCGTGGTGAGCGGATGAGGAAAATCTGAAAAAACCCAAGGAGAATCGGCATGGAGACGGGAAAGAGGAAGACGACGACGGGCTGGAACGCGAGCAGTGAGCCCCGGAGAAACCAGAGTGACACGACACTGGAGCCAGGGTTTGTGCTGCCGACTGACAGAGTCGAGTACGAAGGACCTGACAGCGTCGAAGTCACCAGGGGTTCAAACAGCTGGTCCAAGCAGCTGACTCTTCTGCCAGTTGCCTGCCACAGGACGAGCACGGGTGCTTACCGGCAGACTCCACGCTGAGTACATGGACACAAAGGTCGCTTGCCTGCTGCCCCTAAAGGGTGCAGCCTTCTACAACCTCTACACTGACTCACCTCTTCAACCGTTCCGCAAGCCTCCTCGCCATCAATACAAACGCACGCCAACGTCTCCGCACCAACTGCTATGCTGCCAAGCCACCACAGGCATTGCCAAAACCAGTGGCATCGAACTTTTTCTTTGAACAGTCCTCGAGACTTCATAGCTAATGCATCGTCGGTCGCGGTACTTTTTAACGCGTCAGTGGGCTTGTTACGTGTGAATTTTGGGCATATTCTGTGATTTGTCGAGAGAAGAGAAAGCAATTTGTAGCTGATAGATAATTTATTGCGAATTCCAGGCTGCGCTATAATATCGGGAGCCTCTACTACCGATCGAAAGCGTTTTCTGACCATGCTCAAAAAGTGTTGCAGGGCCCCGTTAATGTGCACCTAAATCTTAATACGAAGGCCTCAAGAATTTTCACCTCTGTCGAAAATTGCACATGTACTTACGGTATCTCATGGTCGTCCATGGTCGCGTCTACAAGACTGAGATTTTATTTGCAGCAGTTATGATAGAACGTAGTTTTGCTGGGACTGAGTGTGTGCTGCACACGTGCAACTTCAGAATGCCATGGTTGTGATATACAACTGCATGACTAGTGATGAAAAGGTGTAGTTTTGTTTTGAGCCCTTTGTCAGCCAGAGCATTTAAAACTATCCCTACGTGGCCCACATGCGCATCAAACCTGCCAGTTGTATTGTGACGGATGCACAATTTCTCACCGAGCATATCAATAGCGAATTTATTGGGATGTGCATATGGTAGTGGAAAGCATGTCTCAGGTGACGCGCTGCTTTGGAAGTCACAAGACCACGAGAAATCGTCGAGTTTCCATCGTAATTCTACATCAATCCTAGGCAAGCACTTTTTCTCATGTGGTAGCACTTGCGAAAATGTTGTTGATGCTTAAGTACAGTAAAACATTGTTAATTCGAAATCACTGGGGCCGCAAGAAATCTTCGAATTAAGCGGGCTTTCGAACAGCTAGAACATACAAAAAGTGGGATGCAAAGAACTTAGAACTATTCAAAGTAATCAGTGCTTGTCATTTGCTGTGGCAACTAGCTTGCGGCTCTAAGGATTATTATGTTTTCTAGCAATACCTTGTCTTCATTTTGCTGCAAACACAGAAAAATAGTGGGCCTCGCTGTTGCCACTGAAAAAAAAAAAAAAAACACGCTGTTGTGATCAACTAAAATGTGCGCCTCCAGAAAACAAGATATCTTCACTGCAACACAGCAACAAAACGCAGGCAGTATGTCGCCTGCTCCTCGCTGTGTCAACTCGTCATGATGCAACCATTCGCACATTTTTTCTGGTATAATTAGAAATTTGACAATGGCCAGTATGACGAAACTGGCAGTGTGTTTTGGCTGGAAAAATTTATCTTTGACACTTTTTAACTTTGTTTTCGAAGCAGGCACTGCTGGCAAGAACGCTGCCAGCAGTGCAAAGACATGAATGCCTAAAGCAACCGGAACTTGGAGGTTCGCATACATCGCAAATTCCGCCCAACTGTCCTTTAATAATTTCTTTACAATCCCAGAAAGATTGGGTAAACCATGACTTGCTGACATTGCGAAAAACATGCAGTGTGCTGCCCGCAAGTCACCACTGTGTTGAAGTGAAAGACATCTAGTTTTCCGCAGGCACATGTTTCGGTTATCCACGACACCGCGCACGAGAAGCCGTTTGCTAAAGGCGCGTCAACCCCTCGTGCAGGTCTGTGTGAATCTGCTCACCGGCCCGCGCGTGACGAGCGAATACAAGCTACTGGAAGAGGGGGTTCACAGGCGCCCAAGCAGGATCGGTGGAGCACCATGACGTAAGCTAGCGTGACATTAAGGGAAAGGCAAGGTGCCCGGGCAAGTTCGGACCTGTGTCTCTATGCGGGAAAACCGACACATGGCTCGTGCCAGACAAAGAGCCTGGCAGCGAAACCTTGGTGGCCATGTTCCCGGCGTTCGAGCAAGCTGGGGAAATGAGGCGCCAAGAGGGAGGGTGAACTCCATTCCCACATCTCTTAAGGACAAGCACCAAAAATCCATTGGAGCAGAAAAATGCACAAGGGCAAGTACGAGCACTTAAAGAAAGCACCAATCACAGCATTACCTGCTTGGCTTCTCCATATGCTGCAACAAATCTGATTGATTGATAAGTGGGGTCTAACATCCCAAAACCGCCATATGGTTATGAGAGACGTCGTTGTAGAGGGCTCCAGAAATTCCAACCACCTGGGGTTCTTTTAACGCGCACCAAAATCTGAGCACACGGGCCTACAAGATTTTCACCTCCATCGAAAAAGCGGCCGCCGCAGCCCAGATTCGATCCCACAACCTGCGGGTCAGCAGCCGAGTAACTTAGCCGCTTGACTGTCGTGGTGGGGCTGCTGCAACACATCTGCCCTGCCACAAGGTGCAAACACAATTATTGGTTAGTGCTAGCGAGATATTACACTTAGTCCTCATAAAAAGTTCCACCTTAACAAAAATACATTCCCTATATCCAAAAAGTTGTTATAAAGATTTATTATTAACACTATATTACAAGATCTTTTTTCATTCCTTTTGTTATAATCGGTATTTCATTATATTTGGTTTGGTTATATCAAAGTTTCAGTGTATTGAAATCGAATGGCTGTTCAAGCCTTCACAAAAAAAAAAAAAGAAGAGCACTGAAAGACTGCAAGGCCACAAACCTGAAAGAGGAACTGCAGGAGGTGGTGGCCTTCGCTTCTTCATTTGAGGTGTAAGAAGCTTCATAGTGTTATCATACGGCAACTGCACAGGAACACCAGCTGCTTTCTGTGTCTCTGTCAAGCAGTTCTCAAGCAGTATGACCTGCATAATGAAAACAGTATTTCAAAAAATAGTCAACCAGATTAAGGGATAATTAGCTTAACTGCTACACTACTAAAAAGTGTAGCTTGTCTTTACAACTGAACTAATTGCCCAAGAATTATGCAATCATCTTGCAATGGGCATCTTATCGCGTGGTTTCTCAGTGAAAAACTCCAAGAGATATTTTCTAATTAGGCTTGTGCAAAAAGCAAATTTTAGGTTTGAATGTAATTCGAAGCGAACAGTGATTCGATTCAAATTTAAAATTTTATTTAGATACTATACAGACAAACTCCTTCATAAGAAACACTGATATAAGAGACAAATGGGTATAAGAGACACCAGTGTGCCTATAGCAAAATATGGGTTGACACGAGAATCAGTGATCCCAATGGGGACTGCCGATTGGGAGCAATTTTCGAAGCAGTCAAATTTTTGTTTTGGAGCACTTTGGAGCAGTAAACGATTAGTTTTAGAGCACTTGGGAGCAGTAAAATTTTAGGTTTGGGGCATTTTGGAGCAGGTAATCTTGCAATTAGGAGCACCTTGAAGCAGTAAAATTTTAGTTTTGGAGCATTTTGGAACAGGTAATCTTGCTATTAGAAGCATTTTACAGCAGTAAAACTTTAGTTTTGGAGCAGGTAATCTTACTGTTAGCAGCACTTTGGCATATGTATATATTCATGATAGAGCACTTCGGGGAACAAAGTACCTCAAACACTTCAATATTACATGGATGCTGACCTAGAACAAAGGATCTTTTTAGTTTAAAAAAGGCTTCGAGAACTTTCACGTCGTTCTTTTCACTATCTCAAGTTTATTAACTCGGAAGCAAATATTGGTAATACATTTGTTTATAAATTATTTCTGAATTTCATGCTGAAATCTCTGCACGTGATACCACAAATTTCAATGTGTATTTTTTTTACTTTATCAACATTCGCTCAAAGTAATTTCCTGAGACATGGTACATTAAGCCTAGAGTCATCTCAGACGTCAGTTTACTTTGTTTCTAGTACTTAAGAACTATGTAGGACCTAGTAAAAGAACGTCAAAATTTATAGTCAAAGCAATTGATGTATTACTGCACCTATGTGAAGCCACCCAAATTTTTATTTTTGCGCATTTTATTGCTTACCGAGAGAGTTCTTATGGCAAGCATGGTGATTTTGGAATTAGTGTAATTTACTAACGTCAAATCTCATTAATTCGAACATGCTTAATTCGAATTTCTGGTTAATTAGAACTGGCACTGTGGTCCAATCAAAGCTATGTATATTCCATGGGCGAAAAACGCCCCATAACTAAAACGCGCAAGCACTTGCGACTGTTAATTCGAACATACCGCGCTCAGAAAATGCTGCCAGCACCACGCCCAAATAGCAAGGCGGCATCTACGACACCTCAATGCTGCGCACGAAAAAGGAAAAGAAGAAAAGGAAAGGCTAGGGCGGAACGTTTGCTTTCTCTAAAATGCATACCTGCCAACCTGGCAACAGAGAAATTCTAAAACCTTGGAACGGGGATGGGGGGGGGGGGGGGGGGGGGGGGAGGGGCAGGGGTTGCAGACTTTTTTTTAATTTGTAGCTGCGACAGATTTGCCTTTAGCGACAAACATAATCACGTTTTGCCGCCGCCACAAGTCAAATCGCATGCTGAATTATTTTCCCCAATTTTCGGCGCCAAAAGAAAAAACAAAAAAACATCGAAAAAAACAATGTGGGGTCTTAAATGCAAGAACAAACATCAGCGCTGCGGTCTCATAATGGCTTGGAGTGGCCCAACACACGAGGGTAGGGTTTTCCACTAAGGTGAGAGTCTAAAAGGGTGAGCCGCAACTGCTCCCGGCCGAAATTTCACGTCATCAAAACAACTAGCAAAATACATTTCCGTCAAAACAACCCGCGTGTCTTCTTGGGACACACGTCAACGGATGGGACGGCGCAGCTGGCTGCCGCGAAAGCGCAGGTCAAAGCTTTGGCTTTGCTCGCTACTAGATTCTTTGGACAGGAACGGCAAAATGCCTCTAGCCTTTTTTTACGTCCTTACCACCTTTTATCCTACCGTTGCGTCAGACACGTGCCCTCTGAGCTCGTAAATTGCTATCGCATCGTCGCGACCGCAGTTTTGTGCGTGGTGGTCAGCGGCAAACGGTAGTTTTGTTTTCAATCCACATGCCTTCAAAACTAAATCGTTTTATGCTATCTAGGGTTGCAACTGCCGTGCTTTTCTCCACAGAGTTTACGGAAAGCAGCGTTGCTTTGACTGGTCGATTGTTGGCCGCACGCACACTTTAGGAGTTCTGTCAGTAACGTCGTCGCCATACATGCTTGTGACGACGCCATACATGCTTGTGCCATACATGCTTGTGACGACGCCATACAAGCATGTATGGCGTCGTCGCCATACAAGCATGTATGGCGTCGTCGCCATACATGCTTGTGTCGTCGCCATACATGCTTGTGCCATACATGCTTGTGTTGTAGCACACGCACTGTACAAGACAGTGCGTGTGCTAGTCACACGCGTACTTTTGAAGCTTCGAACACCCTGCTCTCGATCGGCCTTCGTTCGATTGTTTCGGTACTAAAGTTCGTATCACACACCGTAATTAGGAAAAGTGTTTGCAACATTAGAATTTTGGCCCAACGGACACATGAATTTAGCTGGGGAATTTTGCGAATTCGTATCTGTCGCAGCTTTGCATCACTGAGTCTCTACTGAGTTTAGATGAACACCCCTCAAATTCGTTTATAATGCGGTGGGCTCGCAAGAAGCCTGGAATTGACTGGCCTGCATTTTTGTCAATGCGACCAGATCTCGCACACACATTTCGATTTTCGGGAGATTTTCATGGCAACCCTACACACGGAAAAAACGCTTGCAATCCGTGAGTCTCCCGGACACTGCGGGATACTTCGCAAGTATGTGATGATAACAATACATATAGTTCTCTCCTAGTGATAGAATATTTGCGATGCCCACGGCCTATAGGTGGCGCGCCGTGCAATCCAAGCTGGCTGTGGAAGGATGATCAACTTGTGAATTCACATAAGAATAGATAGGACGCACGGACGTACTCCCCGTGCCGCTTTCACCGGATGAACTCATGATCGTCAAATGAATGTATATTGAACCAAAGTACTTTACCAAGCGATAGGAACTGCTGAATGTTCGCTACCTTATTTCTTGCAGCAGTGCAAAGGGTAGTGGTGTCAGATGACCGACTGTGTATCAACGGTGCTTTGCGTAATGCTGTGCGTGGTACAGAAAACTGCGCGAACTAGAATTCCCTTTGGAACTGAACGGCACTCAGAGATCATTAGTGCTGAGCCAGTCTAGCGGATTTGCCGCAGTAGTAGGCCACTAGCAAGTAGCGCGCCATAACGGCTGTACAGGACCGAATGTTTAACGTAGCGATGGTTTGCAAACATATTACGCCGTCATCATTACTTGATCTGTAAGCATCATGCAGCTGCTTATTCAACGGAACACAAGCATTTAACTTCCCATTTATTAGCACTTGTGTCACAGCTATGTAACACTAAAAGCGTGCAATTCCCCTCACTTGGATGTAACAGGTTCCATTAGCGCGATCTAAACAAGGATATCGACTACGTGTCACTTTTCACAACGTCAAAATTGTCAACATTTGTCGAACAACACCATTGTTCGGACAGAACCGGTGAAGTGCAGGAGACGTTAGTGTGGACTGTAGTCGTAACTGCAGATTTCATTGCTCTAAAAATTTCGCTTCGCTATGCAAGCTCGAGAGTGTTGGCGGCATGCCGTGCTTTGTAATATCCACCATAATTGGGATAAATTCAATGCACAAGAAAAAGTATGCTTATATTTTGAGCTCGCTGAAGGAAATTATTCAATAAATACAATTAAAGTGACTTACGAGCACCGAAAAACATTGACACACGACGGTACGTGAAGTGAAACTCCCTGTTTGTGAGCTAGCAGCTGATCGTGCATCGTTGCAGTCACTCTCAGCGCATTGACAACCATCTACGTCCAGCGAAAAATCCTCGACGCCAAGACGGTTTCTTTGAACATCACTGCTGAAATAATCTGAGGAATTTTCTCCGCCAAACGACTTCGATAGCACCAACAACGCAGTCACTCACTATGCACAACATCAACACGGCGTCACTCACTATCTGAGGATGCGGAGATCATTTTACTCTGATACCCGGCAAGAAAGCAATAACTTGCAATGTGCTGCCATCTATCAACGAACATAAAAAAACAAGCGGCGCAGCTTAGGCCAAGGTTTAGAAATACACATCGTGAGCCTGTGCTACTTTTCACGTAAAATGAATATTGTAGAATTTATCCCCTACGAAAGCACCGACGAATGCTATGCACACATAAAACAAGGTGAGTTTTAGCTGGAATGGTCAGGTGATAACATTTAACTATCCAAGGCAGCTGCAGAAAATCTCGCGAAGCTGATATGTGTACCCTGCTGACTAATCGAAAGCGCGAGTTGCCACGTATTTTCACGAAAACCTCACGTCTCGCAAAAACAAATCAAATTTATCGTGTCACGAACAGTCTAGTATATTCACTGATGCACGAACCATACAAAGTGGTTTGTGTTCATTTCTTGCTAATGCGTTAACACTACAGCAAGCACCGCTGATCAAGGTAGCAATAGAAGCAGCTGCCTACTGATCATCCTTGAGAGGACGCTCCTGAATTCTGCTAGACGGCACCACAGTCCATGAACAATGCAAATAGCACACTGTGTTTGTATCCTCCGCGACCAGCTACAGCAATGCGCCGTAGCCAATCGCGGAGGCCACGCTATTTTACTAATTTTATTTTATTATTGGAAAATAAATGAAAAATCGTACGTGCAATCAAAATTTGTACATTTTATGGGAAAATTGGAAGAGTTAACAGGTGTGCAAATACCAATCTGGGACGTGCCTGTGCCATGCTTCTCCCTTTTCCGTCCCTGCTATGTAGAGAGCCTTCTTTCAACGCTG